CATTAAATGTGCAGGAAACTTCTTCAAGCTCCTGGAAATCTGTAATTAATCAAATCTATTGAAATCATTCAATAGCTCAGTCCAAAAATTAATTGAAACAAACTGGTTCTTTATATATTTCTATAGGCCTCTTTCTTCCTTTCGCCCTCTGCACTCCCTCCTTCCCACTGGGGACTTAGATCAGCATTTTGCATAATTTCTGGGAAAAACGTTTGTGTGCTGGCACAGAGAGGATGCCACGCTACTGCACGTGAGACAGTTTGCAGTAATGCACGTTCTGACTGCAAGGCCTTTAATATTCATTCCGTAGTCAAGGGTAATTGAAAACACTCATTTGACTATTTACAGTTCAGGAGTGGATAGGATCATATGAAGAGCACTGCCGGAGTGCTGTGGGTGAGAGAGTAAAATGACAGTGGCTTTGGGGAATCGATTGCCTTTTCTTGCTTTTAAGGTTCTGATCAGCCTTCAGGGAGCTGCTCACCATCTCACCTTCCAGGGGGCTCAGTACAAGCCGAGGATGCTCAGTAATTCTCAGAGGTTGCTTTGCATTTTGTACGCCCTGAAGGGATAACCCTAAAGGTCTCAGAATCACTTTTTTTAGTTCAACAGTTCATTTGTGCAGTTGTCACCAACTACTATGCTGAAAAAGGCTTTTTTTAAGTTAAGGCCAGCGTGTTCTGTGCCATTAATAGCACAATTCATAGTAGATGGTACACCTATAGCCAGATCAATACATTTACACTGTGAAGTTCCCGTGAAATGTGACATGAAAATAACCATAAGAGCCAAACCAACATGGTTTATAATGTCATCTGATGACTAGGATATATATGTAAGAGGCTTACAAATATTATTAAACAGCCTAGGCATAAAATCTGTTTGACGTGTACCTTAACTTTAATGATTATCCACTTGTCAAAAAGCAAAGACTAGCCATTGGTGAGTAGAACCTTGCAAAGCCGGTATTTTTCTTTTGTATTACTGAGTCTTCCTACTTTGCATTTTTATACTGTTAACAGATGTTTTTTCTTCTTTGTTCCTACAGAGAGCACATGGCACCTCTCTTCTCTCCTAAAAACGTACACCTACATTGGCCGCAAGATTTTAGCTTCTCCTTTAAAAACTAAAAAGGTTACTCAATAGGACTAAAAATTCCCATAACATAACATAAAAATAAAGGTAAAGCCAATGGGACTACAGATAAGAGTTGTTGTAAATAATACTCAACTGTAAACTCTGGAATTTCAGAAATCATTGCTATTTTTTTTCCACTCCTAGAAGGCATGGAACTATATTACATGCTTCAGAGTTACATGTAAAATGAAATGATAAATCACATCCATATTCAGATATATGCATTGCTAAAATAGTTTCAAGTATTGATCCATTGTGTACAGCTGAGGAGAGAAAGAATATGCATCCTATTGCAGGAAACTGTTGTGCTTCCATAGCCACCAAAGGACCACTGACAGCAGGATAAATTCTTTTATCAGATAACTAAACCTCAGATTTTCTACCACAAATGTTTGGATTATGTTATGATTTGTTATAAGTCACTGTCTGGTTAAAATGATCCATTCAAGGTTCCCCATAATGCCGTTTGCTATTTACATTTTGAGATATTTCTTTATGAGTTTTATTATCGTGCAGGTAGATTATAGCATTAACAATGTAATAAAAAGCATTAAAACCTTTCATGTTTCCAGGTCTAACTTAGAGTCACACTGGCGATTTCTGGATCAGGCCATGTACCTGTCTGCTGCTGAAATGATTCATTGTTCCTCTTTATTTAATGAAACAATCTGATTAATATCAATGTTTGAGGTAAAAGCAGAGAAGGACTGTCCTGTTCCACCCACAGGAAAATTAGGACAGGCTTCACTAAAAAATTCTGTTCAGAAACGGATGTCTGCAAAAATACCACCTTCTGGGTTAGAAAACTGATTTTCAGCAGCAAGAACTAGATAAGAAGAGTGAGAATGAGAAAAATTCCTTTACTCAGAATTTCAGTTCAAACATCCAATATTATACCCCAGACATCAGGTCTTGAGTCATGCTGCCTTGACCTTGCAGGACACTTTGATGGCAGATGCTGTCTAGAGTAAGATGGTTCCTATCACCTTTTCCAAACAAACAGGTCCTTGAAACTGCTGTGCCATTTAGTCATACTTTAGGCTGACTTGGGTTAAAATGCTTTCCCAGCCCAGAAAGCATTTAAACACTTCTCCTCTGTGGAGTTTTGAGGGAAAACAAATGCATAACTGGTTCATCCTCTGCATTCGTTATTTAGCAAGGAGCTGAAAATGGAGAAAAGTTTTATTCTATTTAGTAGTTTTGTAAACTACGGCAGTCATTTAAGTAAGATACTTTATTACAAAATGCTTCTTAAAAAATGCATTACTGTTGAGCTTCTTAGATTAAGCAATTTTGAGAGCACTGTTTGTACTTAGACGCAGAAACTGGACACTTCTGATCCCATTACGAAAATGTACTTGACCCTTATTTTTCTTTTCTTACAAGGCCTGAATTTTAATGAGGCCTTAAAGCCCTCACCCATGCCAGTACGCTGCATTTCCTGTTACCGCTTTTGTTCTCATGCGGCATTTGGTTAAATACTTCAGCTGAATATGAAAATGAGAGCACTGCATAAGTCTGGTTCCGTTTTTTGACAAAACTTGTAAAGAAGTATTTTTATCTTTGTTATGAAACGTTTATCTTTTATCTATATTTATATATTGCCTCTATAAATGTGTAATATATCAAAGGGAGATTAGTTGAAAAGTGCATCTCAAAGACCATTAGAAATAGTTGGAGTTGAATGTGTAAATTGAAAATGTGTTATCACTAAGTGGAAAAATGAAAAAGTCGAGGCACGATTAGATCCTGCATCAACAACTTGTATTTTATTTTGCTTGGTGATATTCGTGAGTAACTCCATCCCTGTGAATGGAGCTACACCAGGTCTAAACCACAACCTTGAAAACTGATCTCCCAGACTTTCCTTTGCCTCTTCACCAGAGGTCTCTGTCCTGCAGGACACTGCACGTGCCTGCGCCCAGCAAGGGATGCTGCGGGACTGGGACCGGAGCTTTCACCGCCTCCCTGTATGCCTCTGGAAAGCCTTCCTCTAGCAAAGGTCTCCCATTATTGCACTCTGTTTGTAACTTCAAAAATAAAATCAAGTCTTCTGCAAGAATGGTGCCAGGTATCTAAGCTGCCTGACAAGCAGGCAGCGCGCAGGCAGCAAACTCAGAGCAAACATGCCTCGCTCTCACAGCCTCTTCAAGGGGAAATCTATGCACAGTCTCGTGTCCTTCACCGTGTTGTTTATTACAGTTTAAATGGTCATCTGTACCGCACCTTGTAAAAACGGTAAAACTGTAATTCTAATCTTAATTTGCATTAGAATATTGATTGTAAAACTTGAATTACAGAAAGAGATTTCCCACAGAATAAAAAGCTATCTTAAATCAGAGGAGCTGTAGAAGAGGTGTCTTTCGTAAAAATATATTCATAAAATTTTATAACACAAATATGCATGTATACACATACATATATGTATGTATTATATATACGTATGTGTATATAATTTAATTATCTTTATATGTATTTCTGGGATGTATTAAAAATGTTGAATGTTTAATTCTCAAAATATATTTTATTAATTAGATTTTCAAATATTCTCTTTAGAATGCAAACTGCATTGCTGTTCTCAAATGAATAATTAAATTTAAATTTTAAGTGGTGCCATTAATGAATATTTACAAAAAGAAACACTAATTTGGAGAAATATTTTAATAATTTACTAGAAAGGAAAAAAAAAAAATCTCTACTGATTGACCCCTTAAAATACATTTGCCTTTTATTACATCTTTATTCTAAATAGAAATTTTAAAATGTTTATTTTATTGATTTATCAAAACAATGTGTTTGCAAAGAATATTTATTAGTAGCATTTACATTTTATATAATATTTTGCATCTTTTGAGGCAGGAAGGTAAGTTTTATTATCTTCATGACTTTACAAATTGGGGAGAATTTTGAATTTTGCATTTGCAAAGTAACCTTCCAGCAGAAAGGTATTTTTTAATGTTTATAGTCCTAGTGCTTCAGACACCTTCTGCCTCATCAGAAAATTCATGTGGTTGTAGTTGAAGTAGCTTCAATGTTAACCCATGGTTCCCAGCATGGGCTTCCTAAATTAAAGTCCCAACAGAAACTGAGTATTTACCACCCATCTGTGTGTGCCTGGGAGGACCAGAGGGAACTGTGCTGAAGATGTAGCAGTCCCTCTGTGCAAAGGACCCTCCACATTTCATCAGAGAAACGAAAAATGGAGTCGGAGGTAGAGGGCTTGGAGGCTTGACCAGGACCAGAGAGGGAGAAGGACAGCAGTGATTGATAGAATAAAAAAATCAAGTACTCTTGTCTCCCACACTCTGGGCCTTTATGTCATTGATTTTTATGTAGATGTCCCTATTAAAATCAATGGGGACTTCTTTTTAAATACTGAGGGCAAGATATAACCTAGAGTCTTTATAACCAAGAGGTTTCAGAAAAGGAACAGTTCGCAAACACTTGTTCTGCTGGATTCAGCCTAAAAATTAAGCAGTTTGTTGGCTAAATTATTATTATTATTTCACATTGCCACCATTCCCAAAGATGACTCGTTATCTCTGTTGAAGGCTTGGTCAGCCTGCAAGACGAGTGCAGAAATAGAAGTTCTCTGGAGGAGCAGCAGGCTCTGCCATACAGCAGCAATGTCTAACAATGTCACAATAATTTTCTGGTGTGGTTTGCACTGATTCAAAATACAGGAATAAAACGTCTGCATTTGAATTATTGTTTTTGTCCCATGTCGTACAGCTGATTTATAGTATGTGTCACTACATTGAATGTTGGTTCATATGATAAAATTATGTTTGAAACTCTGCAGACACAAATTTAAGTATTTATTAAAAGCTGAGTGTAGCAAAGTTAAGTTGATGTTAACTGCCATGATCACTTGCCTGACTTACCAGCAACTTCCAGGTATGTTTAGGAACATATTGCATGAGACAGTATGTGACTTTTGAGAAATGTCTACACACAAGCTTTCATAAACCTTTATTCTGTCTTTAGAATTTGGAATGATGGGAGATCATACAATTAAAAGTCAGCGACCTCGATCTGTTCATGAGAAAAGGGTCCCTCAGGAACAAGCTGATGCTGCTAAATTTATGGCACAAACTGGTAATACATCAGTTACATTTTTCTATTTACTGTTGTTAATTTTAGCAAAACCACTGCATGTTTCCATAATCTTTTGCTGCATATTTGTCAGTTTTCTAAGCTGATACTTTTTTTGAATCATTTTTTTTTTCACCAGTTAAAGTCCATAAATAAAGTAGCTGAGAATTAGGTAGGTCATACAAAAACGTGCGCTGCGAATGTGGATACTGAATTGTTTAGTGTAAGTATGAATTTCTTTAGTAGTAAAAGCAGTCTCACACGTACAAGACATAGGGCAGCTTACTGTGACATATTAACTTTTTTTTCAAAGAAGATGTTAAGAACATGCTTCAGAATTTCTTTATAAATAGACTGAGGTCTAATCCCAGCTTTAGGCATTTATCAAATTAATTAATTACTAGGGTGACTTCAATGCGCATACATTCAGCATTTACTATCTTCGGCCCAGCACAACGCTCTATTCTCTAGTTTCCAGATTCATAATTGCTAAATGAAATTGGCCGTAAGTAGTTTTTAATTGGATGTGCAAATTATCTAACAGGTTTTCATCTAAAACATATTTTCTAATTTTGTTTGAGCAACTTCATATTCTTTAGATAAAGATACCAAAATGATATTAAAACCTAGAGCTGAAATAATTAAACACCCCCCCCCAAAAAAAAAAGCCTGTTTACCAACAGTTACCACCGCAGCCTTTGAGGTCAATGATAAAATTTCAGTGGCGAGTTGAATTAAGCTCTCATACACCAAAACTACTGACCATTATGACATCGGTAATGATCTGGGTATCTGTTGGTA